TGGCGGCAGACGGCCCTTGGCAGACAGCACAGGGATGCGAGAGTACCTTGAGCTCCCGCGGGAGGTCACGTGCCTGTAGCCACAGGTGCTCCCCGCGTGTATGCAGGGTCGCGGCTAACCGCCGCTCCGGGTGGAGTGAAGACGGAGCGTCCACGGGGGGTGGCGGCAGACGGCCCTTGGCAGACATCACCGGGATGCAGGAGTACCTTGAGCTCCCGCGGGAGGTCACGTGCCCGTAGTCCCTGCTACTCCCCGCGTGGATCCAGGGTCCCGGCTAACCGCCGCTCTGGCTTGAGTGGAGGCGGAGCGTCCGCAGAGGGTGGCGGCAGACGGCCCCTGGCCGACAGCGCCAGGATGCACGAGTACTTGAGCTCCCGCGGGATGTCTCGTGCCCGTAGTCTCTGCTACTCCCCGCGTGGACCCAGGGCAGCGGCTAACCGCCGCTCTGGATTGAGTGAGGACGGAGCGTCCACGGAGGGCGGCGGCAGACGACCCTTGGCAGACAGCACCAGGATGTAAGAGTACCTTGAGCTCCCGCGGGATGTCTCGCGCCCGTGGTCTCAGCTGCTCCCCGCGTGGATCCAGGGTCGCGGCTAACCGCCGCTCTGGGTTGAATGGCGGAGCGTCCGCGGAGGGTGGCGGCAGACGGCCCTTGGCCGACAGCGCCGGGATGCAAGAGTACCTTGAGCTCCCGCGGGTCCCTCCCCGCCGGGGGGGCGACGGTGCCAGCGCCCAGGGATGCGGCCGCTGGACAGGAGCACGCGCGGACCCTTTACTACCAGTGCGGTGCCACGACGGGGTGCAGCTAACGGCTGCTATGAGGAGACGACCAGCCATTGTTTCTTGCCCTTCCTGGGTGCGCGGGTGTCAGGGTGGCCCTTCGCCGCCTGGCGACCCCAGCCCGCGCTGCCGCTTCGACCCGGGTGCCGATGCCGCAGCTGAGCCCAGTCGACGCCGAGGCCCAGCGCGTCGCTAACGGCCCGTACGTCGCACTTGTGGCTGCGGAAGGAGGACAGGAAGTGAAGGCAAATTTGCGGGTCGTGCCGTGGCGGGTCGAGCGCGCCTTTACCGCCGAGCGCGGCCTGCTGCGTGGCGAAAGCGTGCCAGGTGCCTGTGAACATGGCCCCCAGGGTGACTTGAAGCCGCCTTGTCGCCTCGCCGGGTGTCTCCCCGGGAAGGTCCCGCTGGATGGTGCCGATCTTTGCTTTGTACAGCTGTTGTCCCGTGTCGGGGTCTAAGGGCTCTGGCCATTGGCGCGGCTCTGGCCATTGGCGCTGCCGCGTGTTCTGGCCGCAAGTCTCAGGCGAACCAGTCCCGCTGTCCTGGGCGGAGGGCTCGGAATCTGTTTTCGACAGTTCTGGTTGCACGCCTGGCGGGGCCCTGCGGGTAGGTGCGGGCCGCGTAGTTGGCCGCCGCGCAGAGGCCGGATCGCCTCCGGCAGCCCGGGCGGGCGCTGCCCTGAGGTGTGCGGGGAGAGGCCCCTGTCGCTGGCGTTCGACTTCGGGCCTGTGCCCGCCGTCGCTCACGGGCGCGCCCCCTTCAGTCGCCGCGAGGCTCTCGCCGGGCGCGGGGCTGCCGCTGGTCGTGCCAGGTGCGTGCACGTACGGCGACGCCGTTTCCATTGCCAGGGCACAAACTTCTTTGTCAGGCGTGTCCCGGGCGTCTGGAGGGAGCGCCTGAGGTTCGCCGTCCAGTCGGGCGGGTTCGCTGGCAGGGGTAGGAGGGCGAATGGGCGCGAAGGGGTTGCTCCCGACGAGCCGGCGGATGGCTTCGATGTCCTGCGTCTGTAAGGCTGGTCCGTGGCCCCCATGTTTGGTCTGTGGCGTTCCCGGAGGACTGCTGACAGTCTGCCTCTTTTGCGGAGAAGGTGGGGATGGCACGCTGTGGCAGGCGAGCCTCTGCTGGTCCAGGATCTCGCTTCGCGGGCTGCTGCGGCTGCCGTCCGCACTTTCGGAAGCAAGCTCCTGTCTACCCGATTCTGCTCCAGGGACGCGGCTGACGGCTTGCGCCTCATCCGCACCTTCAATAGCCTCCGCCGCTTCAGGCCCCCGATCTTCCGCGGCCTCCGCAGCTTCCGCCCCTTCTGCCGCATCCTCCATCTCCATCTCCTTGTCCTCCAGGGTCGCATCCCCTGTCCCAGCCGGGCAGCTGGAGTCGAGAAGATGGCTCGGGCACTGAGATGCAAGAGTGCCTTGAGGCCTCGGAGACCGGGCATCAGGGAGCAAGGGTGCCTCCTCCTGACCCGTTCCGCCTCCTTCTACACCCGTCGCTCCGGGGTCGCAGCTAACGGCCGCCCTGAGTTGAAGGATCGTTGTGTCGGGGGCCTCTTTCGGACAGCCGGAGTCTTGAGGATGGCTCGGGCGCTGCGGTGCAAGAGTGCCTTGAGCTTTCGCGGGCCCGCCGTCGCCAGGGTTGCGGCTGCTGGCCGTCGACTCTGGTTGCCCCAGGTGGATGCCAGGGTCGAGGCTGATGGCCGTCTGAGCGCACTGCGTCGTAACAACCGTTCCGTTTCCTTCTGGCCTGACCGGTCCCGCGTCTTCTTGCGAGGTCTGCTGGGCGCCAGGGGTGCCCGGAAGGGCGTCAGGGAGCAAGGGTGCCTCCTTCTGACTGTCAGAGTTGCGAGGAGTTCCGTTCCCTTCTGACCTGACGGGCCCTGTATCTTCTTGCGAGGTCTGCTGGCCGCCAGGGGTGCCTTGAGGGGCGTCAGGGAGCAAGGGTGCCTCCCTTCGGAAAGTCAGAGTTGTGAGGATCATGGCAGAGGGCCGTCTGTTCGCTGGATGCCTCTCTCTGCTGCTGCTGCTGCTGCTGCTGCTGCTGCTGCTGCTGCTGCTGCTGCTGCAACTGCTGCTGCAGCTGCTGCCGCGGGGGGGCGCACAGGGCGGCGGCGGCCGCCGCCGCCGCCGCCGCCGCGCCAGGGGCCGCGCCGCCGGCGGCCCGCGGGGGCGGTCGCGGCGGCGCAGGCGCACCGTGCCCTCCGCCGCCGCCGCCGCCGCCGGGGAGCCGGCAGCGGCGGCGGCGGCGGCGGCAGGGCCCGAGGAGCGTGTCCCCTCGGGCGCGGGCGGCGGCCGCAGTGGCCGAGGCGCGCCGCCCGACGAAGCCGCCGACCGCCGTGGAGCAGCCCGCGGCCGCCGTCGGGGGGGCGGCCGCGGCCGCAGGGGGCGAGGCCGCGCGCGCGGCCAGCAGGGCCGCCCGGGCCGCAGCGGCGACGGCCAGCCAGAGGCCGGCGGCCGCGGCGGCCCCTCCGCAGCGTCCAGCCCGGCGCCGGCCGCGGCCGCGGCAGCGGCGGCGGGCAAGCGGCCAGCGGCCGCGCCCAAGGCCGCGTCGGCGGCGGCGGCGGCGGCCGCAGCAGCGCGGGGGACTCGGCGGCGCCAGGGCGGCGCCGGCCCCGGGGCCGCAGCGGCAGGGCAGGCGCGCGGCGCCGCCACCGCGCGCACCGCCGCCGCCGCGAAGGCCAGCCGCGGCGCGCCCGCGGCGCCTGCCGGCGCCGCCGTGGAGGCGAGCCAGCGGCGGCCGGCCGCGGGCGGTGGCGGTGGCGGCGGCGGCGGTGGCAGCGGCGGCGGCCGCGGCGCCGGCGACCGCGCGGGCGGCCGCGGCGCCGCCGGCCACCGAGCGCCCGCCGGGGGGCGGCGCCGGCTGCCGCGGCAGGGGGGGCGGGGCGGCGGGCGGCCGCGGCGGGCCCGCCGGGGGGCGGCGCGGCGGCCAGCCAGGGGGCGGCGCCAGCGCAGGCGCCGGCGGCGGCCGCGGCGCCCAGGGCGCGGGCGGCGGCGGAGCCGGCGGCAAGGGCGGCAGCAGCCCGGCGCTGCCGCCGCCGCCGAGCCGCAGGGGACAGCATCGCCCGGGGGCGGCGGCCGAGAGGGGGGGGAGACGAGACCCCCCCGTCCAAGCCGCCGCCGGAGGCCTGCGGGCGCGCCCGCCAGGCCGCAAGACCCAGGCCGCGCAAACCACCTCGAGCCGAGACGGCTTGAACCAGTGGCTTGAGCCAGAGGGCTACGGAAAACTGGCGGGGATGCGCGAAGCGTCAAGAACTTGGCAGAGTTCGACCGATGCTTCGGCCAGCTCCGAGACGACCAAGACTTGACCCGCCGCGCACCTGGCAGGCCTGCAATGTCAGCCACGGCGGTCTTCGGCGGTCGGTGGGCGTGAGTCAGTGGTTGAATGACAAGCGACCCCTAACCACCAATAAACACGTGACTGCCCATGTTGGACATACATCGACAATTCTCAATCGTTATATAGTTAATTGTGAACCACGTCTGCATCGCAGAGCGGGGGGGGGCTGGGAAGGAGCATGCCTCTCCTTGGGGGGCACGATTTGTGGCCTCCGCGATCGCCGCGGCGACCCGCAAAACCGATCTGGAGGTCTGATTCGGGGTCGGGTATCACGCAACGGATCAAGGCCCCCACGAGTTCAATACACTGCACAACGACGAGAGACCACGGGTACCGCAGGACACGCGTCACCAGCGAGTGCAGTCGCCGCACGTCGTGAGAACGCAGAGCGCGGGCGCGAGTCTCTTGGGCGTCCATCTCGCACCTTTTTGTTTGAAAGGTCTGGCAATCAGAACGGGCTGAAGGTGGGCCGAAGCGGCAATAATGCCAGGGAACACCTCATCCTTACGATGGGCGGCGGCAATGTCAATGTTTCATGCCCTCCAAGAAAGCGACGTCTGTGCTCTGGGGGCGGCAAGAAGCTCTACGGCCCCTCTGCCAAGGTCGCACTCCAGGGTTACCTACCTGGCTTGGAACAAGAAGCCGTTGGCTTAAGAACACCAGCGCCTGTCTTGGTCTGTCTGCATTTGCCTGCTCTGTAAGCTCGGGGCGTAACGCATCGGTGGATACCAAAACGGGATCGCCTAGGCCAGACGACCGCTTTGAACTCCCGAGGGCCCAAGACAACTTCCCGCAAATTTCTGGACGGCCTCACGGCTTTCCAAGACGGCTTCCCGACAGTCTGCTCCCCTCCCCCTGGAGAGCCAGTCCCTCTCCATCTCCTTCTTCTCGTGGCCTTTCTCGTTAGCAGCGAGTGATGCAAGAGTTCCTTTAACACCTCTTGAAAGTACACGTAGCGAGGCACCAGCCGATTTGGTGGCCCTCGGGGCGCCTGGCGCAACACGAAGAGCAATAGCAACCCCACTCAGGCGTCGACCAAGTTGGTGGCCCGCGGGGTGCCTGGCGCAATCTGTGGTGCAATGGTGCACCCACTGAGGCATCGGTCGATGTGATGGCCTGCGGGGTGTCTTGCACAGCCTACAGCGGAATGTTACACCCGCTGAGGCATCAGTCGATTTGATGGCCCGCGGGCCGGCGGAATGCCTGGCGCAACCCGCGGTACATTTGTGCCTACGTATGGGGCTGGTGCACCCGCTCAAACATCAATCGAGTTGGTGACCCGCGGGGTGCCTGGCGCAATCCATGCCGCAACTGATGGCGAAACCTATGACACCATGGTATGGTGTACCCACTGAGGCAACAGACGATTCGGTGGCCCGCGGTAAGCCTTGCGCAATCTATGGCATTACCGATGGTGCTGTGCAGTGTTACACCTACTATATCAACGGACGATTTGGTGACCCGCGGGGTGCCTGGCGCAACCGCTGGCGCTGTGGTACACCCACTGACGTATCGGCCGATTTGGTGACCCGCGGGGCACCTGGCGCAATGGTACACCCACAGAGGCATCGGCCGATTGAGTGGCCCGCGGGGTGCCCGGCGCAAGCTATTGCGAAGCTCAAGGCTCAACTTATGGTACATCTGCCGAGGCAGAGGCAACGGATGCTATGGCGGTCCGCGGAGTGCCTGGCACAACCTGTGGCGCAACCTATGGCAGATGCTGCTTAGGGCCTCGCGGCTGGGTGACGATCTTTTCTTTCTCCTTGTTCTCTCCTGTCCTCCTCGCGCGCTTGTCCTTGCCTCCTTGCCTTTTTCCTTCTCATTGCACTCCTCCTGCCTCCTCCTCCTCCTTCTTCGGTTTCACGCTCTGCGGACTCACTCGCCCGGGCCGTGCGGTTGCGCAGGCGCCAGATCGCCTGCGCACTGAAGGGATTCGAGAAGCGGGTGAGGCGGGTGCTAAAGAAGGCCGCCCCGTCCTTCCAACAAATTCGTGTCGTGGCGACTTCGGCGCTGGCTTCCGACACCGCGCGGATCGTTCAACCATGAGTGGGGAGGAGGAGGAGGAGGAGCAGGAGGAGGAGGAGGAGAAGAAGGAGGAAGAGGAGGAGAAGGACGAGGAGGAGGATATTGATGATGATGATGCTGATGGTGATGATGCTGATGGTGATTATGCTGATGGTGCTAATGATAATGATGATGATGATGCTGATGATGATGACGATGAACATGATGATGACGAACATGACGATGATACTGATGCTGATGATAATGATCACGAGGAGGAGGAGAAGGAGGAGGAGGAAAAGAGGAGTGAGGAGGAGGAGGAACAGGAGGAGGAGGAGGAGGACCAGTGGAAACCCAAGAATCATCAACGATGTTGGAATACACCCTCCCTTCAAGCTCCCTCTTCATAGGCCCTTACAACGGTTTATTTTCATTGAGGGATATTTTCAGTTGGAAGACAACCGTTTGAAGACTCGGAATGTTCTCGTGATTCCAACGCCACGGATCAACCTGATTGATGCGTCTTGACGATCCTGGATCGTACCAAGACGCCATTCTTGGGATTTCAACGCCGCGTATCAACGTCACTGTTGCGCCCGCGAAACCCCGAATCCTTCCAAAACACCGTTTCTGGTACGTTGATCGTGGGAATCCGTGGCACTCTTGCAACATTTGCGAACGAATGCGCGCGGCGCTAAGGCGAGAGTCACATTTTGAAAAGGAGCCGCCCTCAATCCGTGAAACCCTTGCAATTTTTTAAAACGAATGTGCGCGGCGCCGGCGCTAAGGCGAGAGCCACATCTTGAAAAATGGTGATCCTCAATCCGAAGCAGGAAACGTGGGCGGCGTTGAGGCGAGAGCCACATTTTGAAAACGACTCGCCCTCCATCTGTGAAGATGTTGTCAATTTGGAGCTTCAGAGCCATAAGTGGTGAGGAAGTCTCAGGCGAAACGTCCGGCCCGCCCTAAAACCTTGCGTCGGGGTGCGACAGGAACAAATATTTATAAGGGAAAGGAATGGAGGAGGAGGAGGAGGAGAAGGAGGAGGAGGAGGAGGAGGAGGAGGAGGAGGAGTGAGGAATGAGGTGTGAGGGGTGTGGAGTGAAGAATAAGGAGTGAGGAGTGAAAGAGTGAAGGAGGAAGGAGGAGGAGGAGGAGGAGAGGAGGAGGAGAGGGGAAGGAGAGGAGGGAAGGAGTGAGGAGGAGGAGGAGGAGGAGGAGGAGGGGAGGAGGAGGCGGAGGAGGAGGAGGAAGAGGAGGACGAGGACAAGGACGAGGAGGAGGAGGAGGAGGTGGAAGAGGAGGATGAGGAGGAGCAGGAGGAGGGAGGAGGAGTCAGGAGCAGGAACAGGAGCACCAGCAGGAGGAGGACCAGTGGAAACCCAAGAGTCATCAACGATGTTGGAATTAACCCTCCCTCCAAGCTCCCTCTTCACAGGCCCTTGCAACGGTTTATTTCCATTGGGTGAACTGCCCCGTTAAAAAGCAACCGTTTGAAAACCCTGAAGCATGCCGAAACATTGTTCTCGGGATTCCAACGCCACGGATCAACCTGACTGCTGCGTGTTGACGATCCGGAACCGTGCCAGAACGCCATGTCTGGGACTTCGAATCAACATAACTGTCGCGCCCTCGTAATCCGGAATCCTTTCAAAACACCATGTCTGGTACGTAGATGATGGGAATCCGTGGAACTCTTGCACATGTTGCAAACGTATGTGCGCGGCGCTGAAGCGAGAATCACATTTTGAAAACCACACGCCCTCAATCCGTGAAACTCTTGCAAATTTTGAAAACGACTGTGCTCCGCGCTAA